AAAAAAAAAAAAAAAAAAAAAAAAAAAAAGAGTTCACCAAAACTACATGGTTCAGATATCCATTTCTGTTTAACAAACACCACCAAAACAATAGCAATTTTTAAATTTCTCAGGATAATGTGGGTTGACTGGGTTCAGCTGGATGGTTTTCTGCTCCATGTGGAGTCTCACCTGGGGCTGCCATCAGCTGGAGGCTCCATTAGGCTGGTACATCTGAGAGAGCTCACTCACATGGATGAGCATTGGTTCTGGCTTCTGCTAGGGGCTCACCTGCGGTTGTTGACTGGAGCACCTTGGTTCCCCTCCAGATCCCTCCATGTGTAGGGTTACCAGATTATATTTAAACCATTTAAATTTGAATTTAAAATAAACAAAAAATCCTTTTTTGTGTAAAGTTGTCACACGTAATATTACTTTGTTCATCTGAAATTTAAGTTCAGCTGGGCATCCAGTATGTTTATTTGCTAAATCTGGCAACCTTAGGGGAGGAGCCTGTGAATCTATAACATTAAGGACAGACCTTCTGAGGTGACCCTTCCACTGGGACTGGTCTGGAAAAAAGAAGAGTTCATATATGGCAATAAAGACAAAAGCTGTTAATAACTGATGCTGGTGGAATGAAGGAGAAATGGACACTGCCACACACTATTGGTGCCAAATGGGCATATCTGTTTTTTAAGGCCCATAGTATCATGGCTGAATAACTTGAATGGCTTTTGATACAGAAGCCCTCTTTCCACCAACAAGGGAAATTCATATGAGGGTTTAGAAAAAGATCCCCAAGGTGATTCTGACCTGCAGTCTGGTTAAGGGGTCCCAACTGAAGGGGGATGAGGACCACATGAGCTCTCTGATTGATGGAGGAAAGAGCTACTATTTATGAAGTAGGTTGTTTAGAGGGGCCCAGATCTAGGTTCTTCATGTTAGTGACTGGATTTAATCTCGCAACAGTCCCACTAGTGATGTATCACTATCCTCTCTTCATGGATGTGTGTGACTCCAAAGCAAGTGCTCTTAAGCACAGAGACAAATGGCAAAGAGGTTGTTCCCCACGCCAACTGCCAGAGCCAGAGGTGGGACATGGCAGCCTGGTCACCTTTAGTTGCTGGTGGCAGAGCTTTAGAAAAGGTATTAGGACATGTACTGCTGAGGTGGTTAATCTCTGTTCTCCCTGTGTTAACCCTCCCTGCAGCAGGAAGCCAAGCCTGGTGTTCCTTCCCCCTGCTGCATGGGAGGTTTGTGACCAGGCTGGAAGCAGAAGCTGTCTGAAGTCAGTGTTTCTTCTGTCCTTTGTGAAAACTTATGGAAATGATTAGGCTGCTTGTACCTGGTAGGGAGGAAAGGGCATCTGAGGACACAGAGAGGGAAGTGAGATTTCTCCCAGAGAGGGATGAGGGTGGTTCCATGGATAGTCTATCAAGCCTGAGCATCTAATCATGACAGATTTTCTAGTGTGGATCTAGGGATGTATGGAGCAGGAATGGGATTCCAGATTTTGCCCTAATCACAATATACCATGCATTCTCAACAGATGACATCATCCCCAAGAGGTCAGAGATTGGTTCTTGAGGTTAGGGTTTTCATAGATATTACAACGGTCTGTGAGCTTCCAAAGGACCACAGTACATAAACAGATAAACTACATCTGGAGTATTAAAAATTTCACATTCCACTGGGGAGTGGGGTTGGGGGTAATTAGGCAAAAAATGTCTGAAAGGGCTCCTGGAGGGTGATAATGAAAGAAGACTGACAAACTCTTCATATACACAGTGACCTCCTATGTAGATGTTGGTGTTGGTGATGATGATTGATGATGATGAGAATTAAGTATGGGGATTATGTGAATGACTGCTTTCTAAGATGGTGGGTAAAAAGGGATCGGTCAGAACAGATGTTTCCTCTGAGAAAGATGATATGGAGGGTAGGAAATTAATGTAAACAAATGGTACTCTAAATTGTATCTCCTTTACTCTTAACACTTATTCAGTTACCTATTTAATCCTATAATTTAAACATTTCTTTTAATTTATTTATTTATGTATTTATTTATTTAATTTTTGGCTGTATTTGGTCTTCATTGCTGCGCGCGGGCTTTCTCTAGTTGCAGTGAGTGGGGGCTACTCTTCGTTGTGGTGTGTGGGCTTCTCATTGCAATGGCTTCTCTTGTTGTGGAGCACTGGCTCTAGGCACGTGGGCTTCAGTAGTTGTGGCATGCAGGCTCAGTAGTTGTGGCTAACAGGCTTAGCTGTTCCAAGGCATGTGGGATCTTCCTGGGCCAGGGCTCGAACCCATGTCCCCTGCACTAGCAGGCAGATTCCTAACCACTGCACCACCAGGGAAGTCCTTATTTAATCCTATAATTTAGATAAGGGTAAGAAGTTAGGAGACGTGAAGTAAATCAGGGGAACTGCTTTGGACACCTGCTCAGTACGTGAGCTTGAAATTACTCTAAAGCTTTTCCCATTGTATCCTGAAGCCACCAGGGCTCTAAATACTCTAATTTCTCTGGACACTGGCATTCAATGTTGTCCAAGGTATTGCTTAATTTATTAATAATGACCTATATTACTGTTTTTTTTACTGAAGTATAGTTGATTTCCAATGTTGTATTAATTTCTGGTGTACAGCAAAGTGATTCAGTTATAGATATATATATACATATATTCTTTTTCATGTTCTTTTCCATTATAGTTTATTACAGGATATTGAACATAGTTCCCTGTGCCATACAGTAGGTTCTTGTTGTTTGTTTTACATATAGTAGTGTGTATATGTTAATCCCAAACTCCTAATTTATCACTCCCTCCCCACCCCTTCCCCTTTGGTTACCATAAGTTTGTTTTCTATGTCTGTGAGTCTGTTTCTGTTTTGTAAATAAGTTAATTTGTTTCATATTTTAGATTCCACATATAAGTGATATTATATGGTATTTGTCTTTCTCTTTCTGAGTTCATGTAGTATGATAATCTCTAGGTCCATCCATGTTGCTGCAAATGGCATTATTTCATTCTTTTTTTGTGGCTGAGTAGTATTCCATTGTATATACATACCACATCTTCTTTATCCACTCATCTGTCGATGGACATTTAGATTGTTTCCATGTCTTGGCTATTGTAAAGAATGTTGTTACGAAGAGTGCGGTGCATGTATCTTGAATTAGAGTTTTCTCTGGATATATGCCCAGAGAGTGGGATTGCTAGATCATACGGCAACTCTATTTTTAGTTTTTTAAGGAACCTCCATACTGTTTTTCATAGTGG